CTTGTTAACTCTATAGAAGGTTCAATTATTGACAGATTTTTACGAAACTTGGTATGAGTGTTTGTTGTCACCTAAGGATGAAACCCATTGAAAAGCAGAAAAATCGAAAAATAATTAGTATGAGTTATTGCCCTTGTTCTTGAAAATACGTTCAATTTATAGCACGTAAACACTCTAGAAGGAACAATTCTTGATGGATTTTAACGAAACTTGGTGTGAGTGTATGTAATCACACAAGGATGAACTCTATCGAAAATCAGAAAATCGCAAAATATTTAGTATGAGTTATTGCCCTTAAGTCTAGAAGGCCCAATTCTTGACAGGTTTTGATAATATTATTCAGTATCGCCTCAAAAAGTTCAAAAGAAGTCTATGTCTGAAGGTTGAATATTTCATACTGGTAATTGTTACTGTACTACCAAATATTTTTATTTAAAATCAAAGCTGTCAGTGGGGGTATATTACCTTGCCTGGCAAGCTATCTTACTTAGTCACAACACTACTGTATACTCACTACGTTTGTGGGCTGCTTCGGTAAGATCGCTCTTTATATCTGCTATTGTATCTTTAGCATCGGTTGGCCAATCTGAAATAACAGAAATATTTACAGACCGTGTCTCGTATGTATGGCTTGGCAGTCAGACTGTAATATACCAAAGATATTTTATAATTTCTTCTGGTTTATTAGTATCAACAACGGTGTGCTGAAAAACAGTCTCACAGAGCAAAAAGCAAATCAGGGCCGTATCTTAGGTCTTTTGTCTATGTGGTTTGGTATGAGACAATTGCCTCATTTGCCTTGATGTAGTTACCGCCCTGTATATGATCAGTTGAAAATGTATATTATATTTGAAGTAACATCGTCTCTTCCTATGTAATATACTACACTATACTACAATGACATCAATCTGACCAAAAGAGTCATAAGCAGATCAACTTACTATCTGGGTCGGTACCAAATCTCTTAGTAACCTCCATAATGTCATAGTACATTTCACTATTTGGAGCCACATTATCAATAGCTGGACCAAATATATCCCCTGTAATAAATATATTTTGTACGGAAACCATTGTTTTTGCTTTGAAGACAGACCAGCTGACTAAATCCAAATGGCAGCATGCTATCATTCAAATTTGATTCTATCTACATAACGCTCATATACCGTTGCTTCAGGAGCATACATCCTTGCATGCAGACATTGCAGGTCAGAGGGGTTGACATGGATAGAGAATCTAGTCGTTCGGATGGGACGATAAACCAAGGTCCCGTGTGCTGCAGTATGTGCATATCAAAGATCATTCGACAACTGGAAATCCAAAAAGAGGAGGCTAATGCCGTTGTCTTGGCAAAATTTCCCTCATTGCACTCCGCATGGCGTTGTCCGTCTTCATTAGCCCACATGGTACAGAAAATTAAGACGTAAAACTCCATTTATTTGATTTCATTTTCCATGCAGCCATTGCTATAGTATAATCAGAACAATCTGGTTAAAGAGTAACACCCCCGGTAAAACCACACGGTTCTCATTTGGGAATAAGTTTCATGTATTAACTTAAAACAATACTCACGATGTTCCTGTGAAAATAAACTTTGACAAGACGGTATAGATACAATACATAATATTACCACCCAAAACATCATCCTGCGTCAGTAACTGATGTTACAATACTTGAATACTTGTATATAGAATTCATTATTTTCTCAGTTGTCCCAAAACATGACCAGTTATACATTTACATAAGTTATATAAAGTAACTATCACGAAAATGGTGATTAATCATTGAGTTATAGTTTTGAAAACATAAAAAAATATTAAACACATATCAATCAGTCAGAACATTCACAGCTAAAATATGGCACCTTTGTCATGATTTTTTAACAGTCTGAAGTTATGTGATTTATTCAAACATTATTAATTGACAAGACATCTCACTATATAAGGTGTGGTGTCTATATATATATAGATAAGGAATGTTTACGAACGAAGATGACAATTACCCACGGTAACATTGTAAAGCATGCGGTGCACATGTCCTTCCGGCTATTATGTTGTCACGGAGTGTATTCATATTTATACTCTGCCGGTACAGGAAGCGGTGCAAAGGCGGGGAGAAAGGGGGTGTCATCAGCTCCTTAGGAAAAAATGTTCAACAATGTATGCAATCCGGTCACTCTGGATGAGGTGACAAATAGTCAAATAGAGAAGGTTTTTAACTGATTTTCCATTGAGGTATATGAATTAATAGCTAAATGTTGTCTTCGTACATTCTTAAAATCGTAGTAGCTCAATTATACGTCAAAAGATGATGTAACGATAGAAGGGCTTTGCAAAATATGATTATTGATATAAGAAAACATGTTTTTTGCATCATGGTTTATTTCTTTAACATCGACTGAAAGACTGTCGGATTTTAATGGATTCATTATTCTTTTAATATTCTGAAAAAGAAACGAGATTATTTCATTATAACAAAAAAAAAAAAATTGAAACCCCCTTGTTCTATATCGGCTCGATTGTGTAAAATAAAATAATACAACTACTTTGCGATTCGCATTCTTCTGTACCACGAGCGGCCCCGCCCCACCAATAGCATTAGGTCTCTTTGCTCGGAAACGGGAATGCATGTATTCTGATTAGATTTGTACAACCTAGAAATCTCTACTTTTTTTAAATGTTGTATTTTTGTACTTTCTTGTCATCGTCTTCATACACAATTATTATTTTACAATGATTTCAAGACATACCCTTAAAACGGGTAACAGCTCTCAGCCTTCCGACGGCTATCCCGATCTATTACGGCTGCCACCGGCCAAGCGGCGTTTGATCAAAACGATTGCCCATCCTAGATGCACCATTAGCTATCCTAATCAAATCGGTAGCTACTCTGCCATCATCAAGACTTGGTCTCCTTAAAATTGACTGACTAGCTCTGGATCTGTCCAAGTTCACGGATATTAGCCTACTACTTCGGCTGTTGGCTCTACCATCATCAAGATTGGTTCGTTGAAAACCATTACTTCTTTCAAATGCACCATTAGCTAACCTAACACTATCACGATTCGAGCTTCTTGAAAATGACTGACTTGCTCTGGATCTGTCCAAGTTGACGGTTATTTGCCTGTCCCTACTGCTTCCGCTGTTAGGAGCTCTGCCATCATCAAGATTGGATCTGCCAGGATTGTTACCAAACGACGTTAGTTCCAAACCGTTACTTCTTTCTAATGCACCATTACCAGACCTAGCACTATCAAGATTCGAGTTTCTTGAAAATAAGTGACTTGCTCTGGATCTGTCCAAGTTGACGGTTATTTGCCTATCCCTACTGCTTCTGCTGTTGGGAGCTCTACCATCATCAAGGTTGGATCTGCCAGGATTGTTACCAAACGACGTTAGTTCCAAACCGTTACTTCTTTCTAATGCACCATTAGCTAACCTACCACTATCAAGATTCGAGTTTCTTGAAAATGACTGACTTGCTCTGGATCTGTCCAAGTTGACGATTATTTGCCTGTCCCTACTGCTTCTGCTGTTAGGAGCTCTGCCATCATCAAGATTGGATCTGCCAGGATTGTTACCAAACGACGTTAGTTCCAAACCGTTACTTCTTTCTAATGCACCATTACCCAACCTAGCACTATCAAGATTCGAGTTTCTTGAAAATAAGTGACTTGCTCTGGATCTATCCAAGTTGACGGTTATTTGCCTATCCCTACTGCTTCTGCTGTTGGGAGCTCTACCATCATCAAGGTTGGATCTGCCAGGATTGTTACCAAACGACGTTAGTTCCAAACCGTTACTTCTTTCTAATGCACCATTAGCTAACCTAGCACTATCAAGATTCAAGTTTCTTGAAAATGACTGACTTGCTCTGGATCTGTCCAAGTTGACGGTCATTTGCCTATCCCTACTGCTTCTGCTGTTGGGAGCTCTACCATCATCAAGGTTGGATCTGTCGGGGTTTTTACCAAACGATGTTAGTTCCAAACCGTTACTTCTTTCTAATGCACCATTACCCAACCTAGCACTATCAAGATTCGAGTTTCTTAAAAATAACTGATCAGTTGTAGATCCGCCTAAATTTGCGGTTATTTGCCTGTCTCTGTTACTTCTGCTGCTGGGAACTTTACCATCATCAAGATTGGATCTGTCTGGGTTGCTTAAGGACAAGAGACGACCAGCTGTAAAAAGTAAAATAACAGAAAACTAACTCAATTGAGAAACCGAGGTTACCAAAAGTTGGATCTGTATTTACTTATTGTTTAGCCAGTTACTTCACACTAAATCTTATACAAAAAAGTGGCTGCTAGAATGGGGATTTTGTATTCAAAGCATATGAGACGATGAGTACATAGAGATGCCCGTGAATAGATAAACAACCGAATAGTTCCTATAACATTTTCATACATGATACACGAGCTTCGGCTTTTCATATCATCCTATAGAACTGGAGCCACTTATTTGACTTTATATCATGAATGATTTACGATGTTGGCAGTATGCTTACGTATGTCATACGTATCTAGCTAGATTTCTAAAAATTTGAATTACCCCTGTTGACTGACAGCTGGGTATATAAACCTGAAATTATAAAAAAAGCCAAAATTGAAAATCATTATTTACATGCTTAGATTAGTCTGTCCGTCCAGACGTTCGTCCACAATTTCTTATGAAATCTACAGAGGTCTGATCTGATTAGAGATGAGACTTAATACGCATTTGTATAGTGATAAGATCTCGGGTGTGTCCGTTTTTCAATAATTGGTTTAAGAGTTATCGAACTTGATTTTGCCCAATGACCTAGCCTATAAACCTCGAAGTTGACATGGGAACATATTACTAACAACAAATCATATTTTAGTCTCAGAAACGGGATTTGGTTTTAGCAAAGCCAATCAGTAATAGTCTTCACAGCTCGCCGTCGATATTTGAGCCTTCAAATCCATGTGTGTCCAGAATTATCCGCGTTTGAATGTAAAAATGACGATTCGCTATTTCAGATACTCTGTATATATAGAAAGGAAATATATAGAAATAGTGAGTAAAATTCATAGTTTGAAGTATTTTTGAAGGAAAAATGCATTGTTCGTACATTTCTAGTACTTCTGAAGACTATTTATATAAATTTAAGACTCAAATCATTCTCTCAAAATGTCGCAGCTGTACCTTTAATGGAACTTATTAGGTCTGATTTACAAAATATTAAAACTATCTTGTGAACTCTCAAGACAATACAGTTTTGATTTGTTTCTTAAAAATTAGATCTCTAATGACTTTCATTTTCACACGGTTTTCGTATTTTTTGCATGTTGCTAGCCAATTCATCCACGATCTGACGATATTCTTCTTTATATAATGATCAGCAGAATAATGGCCAATCACACCAAAGACACAGTTCAAAATGTTAAGACAATACAAGTATAACTATGAATAGCTTAGTTCATGGATTAGTGGAGACAACCGCATATAAAAAATTGAAGCGAAGCATCTAGAATTGCATTTTCAACAGCGAGCGAAAGGAAAAATGCTACTTACCAAGAGAGTCATTTATCAAGAAAACTGCAGATACAATTAGTAACCACATAATGTAGGTTTTAAAAGTATTACTCAGTTTTCAAGACCGTAGAAGGAGGGAATAAAGAGCACTGGTGTAAGGGTGGCATATTTATATACTCACCAAAAAAAAAAAATAAAAATTTTATTACATTAATACTTTTTTCGATCTGTTTTGCTAAATGTACAATGATTGTTTGCTGTTTTTCTTTTTAACTATGATTAATATGATGCATGAGTGTAATAATAGAAGCATAATTTGACATTGATTACCTAAATAAAAGTATAATTTCATTGATATAGATTTTAAAAAGTTACTGAATGCCCCAAGCTGTAAGGTATGTTATTTTTTACTGGTTTCAAAGAAGGTTTTTAAGAGGTCGATGGCGACTTCGGCCTACATTTTCTACTTATAAACACACACACCAGTTGATGGATGAGGGGTCATGCAAAATGTGGAACAATCGAGAGAAGCGGGACACGAATGAACTCAATTCTTAGTTTCGACCCTGATGGTCTTATAACGGATCGGGTTTGTTTCTTACCACTAGTTATTATAATGAACACTGATAATGCTTTCATGCTTTTGGGTGGTATTTGCGATGCACCGTGGCATAAATTATTACTGAAGAATATGTTCTAGAAGCTGACGTATATGTTTAACCCTGGTTATGTTATCAGTTAGTATTAAAGAGACTTTGGCTTTTTACAAATTTTCGCAAATCGATATTTTCAGTCTACATACCGGTAATTAGAGTGATGCAGATTTATATAGTTTGGTTTACTGGAGGTAACCTGGTGAAAGTAATATGATATTCCTGATTTTGTATTCTACATGATGACTTGAAGAAAAAGGTTAAAGTGAAGACATGATTAGAGCGAGAGTGTCAATTTATTTGCTACATTTGATAGCTCTGATTGGCTAAAGCAGAAGTAAAACTAAACGTTATGGTGAATAAATTTTGAAAATATTTTCATGCGCCAACATCTCTATATGGTCGTTACCCATTTTCGTGGTCGACCCGTCTGTCGGTTCTTATTTCCTCGTTAACGCTCTTAATCTGCAGATGTTTTTAAGCGATTCGTTTTGATAAAAAAAAATTGGCATATGTGTATACAAACCCTAAATGAAGGTTCGATTTTTTTTTATCAAACCCAGTTATCTCCATATTGAAAATGCAATAGCTTTTGGGGGTTTTCAACCGATTTTCATAAAACTTGGTATGTAGACATATGATCAACAAATGAAGTATTAAGTGTGAAAGTTTCTCGTTTTCCAAAGCGCATGCGACCTAGACATCTTTTAATATTTTTTAAATAGAAAGAACCCATTTTATATGAAATATATGGAAGGCCAGTTACTCTATTGTTCGTGTGAGTTTTTGTTGCAGTCGGGAAAAGCTTAACTTAAAAAGCTTATGTGTGTCAATGACACTGATAGCAACAATTTGCACCATTCCAATTTTCAATCCGACGTCTGTGGTTCTTGCAATTCCACTACAACTAAGCGTTTGATTTATCAGTTTCACAAAGGTTCTTAGAAAATATTAGCATTTTTTTGCATTGAAAATATATGCTATCAGTGTTTCAGACAAGCATACAAAATTTAACAAACTTCTTGATAAACTCTTTAAATGGCTTGCAATAGCACAGAGTTCGAAATTCCGGCATGGGTAAAGCAAATATTTGTTAGAATTGGACCATAAATCGGGAGTCCAATGAGTTATGTACAGATTATAAATCGGGAGGTCAATGAGTTGTGTACAGGTTATAAATCGGGGGTTATGAGTTATGCACAGATTATAAATCGTGAGTCCAATGAGTTGTGTACAGATTATAAATCGGGAGTCCAATGAGTTATGTACAGATTATAAATCGGAAGGTCAATGAGTTATGTACAGTTTATAAATTGGGAGTCCAATGAGTTGTGTACAGGTTATAAATCGGGGGTTATGAGTTCTGTACAGATTATAAATCGTGAGTCCAATGAGTTGTGTACAGGTTATAAATCGGGGGTTATGAGTTATGCACAGATTATAAATCGGGAGTCCAATGAGTTATGTACAGGTTATAAATCGGGGGTTATGAGTTCTGTACAGATTATAAATCGGGAGTCCAATGAGTTGCGTACAGATTATAAATCGGGGGTCCAGTGAGTTGTGTACAAGTTATAAATCGGAGGTTATGAGTTGTGTACAAGTTATAAATCGGGAGTCCAATGAGTTGTGTACAGGTTATAAATCGGGGGTTATGAGCTATGTACAGATTATAAATCGTGAGTCCAATGAGTTGTGTACAGGTTATAAATCGGGGGTTATGAGTTATGCACAGATTATAAATCGGGAGTCCAATGAGTTATGTACAGGTTATAAATCGGGGTTATGAGTTCTGTACAGATTATAAATCGGGAGTCCAATGAGTTGCGTACAGATTATAAATCGGGGGTCCAGTGAGTTGTGTACAAGTTATAAATCGGAGGTTATGAGTTGTGTACAAGTTATAAATCGGGAGTCCAATGAGTTGTGTACAGGTTATAAATCGGGGGTTATGAGCTATGTACAGATTATAAATCGTGAGTCCAATGAGTTGTGTACAGGTTATAAATCGTGAGTTAGGAATTCTGTACAGATAATAAATCGTGGGTTATTAGTTGTGTACAGATTATAAATCGGGGGTTATGAGTTATGTACAGATTATAAATCGTGAATTCAATGAGTTATATACTGTTTATAAATCGGGAGTCCAATGAGTTATGTAAAGTTTACAACCTGTACAATTGGCCCCAGTAATGTAAAGATCAATCGATTTTTGAAAACCGAGTAGAGAAAGGCTAATGTTAGTGTTCAAGCTATAATGTATTTCAGTGAAGACTGAATGACATTATCAATTAAAAGTAGGACTTCACACTTAACTTAATTAGTTTTTCAAAACTCGTGGTAACCCCACAACAAGCAGTTGGACGTTAGAAAGCATATCAAAATAGATAATCAGAAGCTGTGTAAACGCCTTGTCTGGAGGGTTAATAATCTGATATCAACCACAAAATTAAAAAGTTATATTTAATAACAAAATACACTAATTTTCTAAAATTGTTACAAAGTAAAATAGAAAAATGAAAATCTCCCATCACAAATAGAAAACCTGTCAGTGTTCGTGGCCAAAGGAACAGCGAACAGATCACAGTCTCTATTCAAATACTTCTAACCTTTTTTATCTGGTGGTAGACTTTCAGATGAAGGATTCTCCACACGCACTAACATTCTGAGAGATAGTTATTATTCGAATTATGCTGACTGACTGCAATACTTACAAACAGACTGATCACACATTTACACCTGGCCTGCGACTTGCATACAATAATTTTCACAAAACTTAGATATTTCATGACGTTTGCTGAACCTTTTTTGGTATCAAACCCACAAGTCTATAGCCAATTATCTTGTCATTAGAATACCGTGGTATAACTTTAGGAGCATTAAATATGAACCTTTGAGCGTCCCATGACAACCGACCGTGTGCTATTGCTTGCATAATATCTCTGTGTGGAATGTTTGTCGAATGGTTGATGTTTCTTGAAGCGGTGCCACCATTAGATATTTGTCCATTTTCAGATGTCGTTATAACCGTTTCATACGAAACCGGACGTCCATTCATCCCGGTGTTGAGATGGTATGATTGTTTTTCTAAGGGTAATAGCGTGGTTTGAGGAATGTTTACGTTGTATATCTGCCCTGAAGCTTGATTGTTACTCTTACGAATTAGCGAAATTTTTTGCCCCCCGCCATGGTTGGGGTTTTGTACAGTTCTAAGGTTGGTGACCGTTGTAGATAAAGGTTGCTGCATGGTTTGAAAGACCTTGTCCACTCTCGGAATCATGTTTCTTGCAGACGGACTTTGTTGGAGGACATCTGTTAATAAACTTGGCCGAGTAATAGGTACTATGTTGATATCAGTTCTCGTATTTTTAAATCTTTTATTAGAAGCAGCTGATATATCTGGAACGACGTTTGGTAAATTCGGAATCGGAAAGTTATTAGGTTTGGAGAAATCTCTTCTGACATCTGCTAATCTTGTATTTTGCCTGTCTTTGATATTGTGTACAATGATTGGATCTGCGATTAAAACACCACTATTACTAGGATGTTGGTTAACTCGAATCTTGTCTGAAACCGTGTATCTGTGTAGCTGATCGGGGGATGTCGAAATTGTACCAGTAGGATCAACTGCTTGTGATAATCTGTTGAGTAATACCGAGTTATATTGAGGTCGAGTAGGACTGTTGGATGGACTATCAATATTACTGTTTACTGATATAGTGTTAGCTGATGTTTGTATATTATTGACGGCCAATGATGGCGTTTGAACAGTGAACTCTGGTGCGGTGTTGGGAGACTGCCTTGCGAAGGTAGTTGTTGTTTTGGAAGGAACACTTGGCTGAATTACTTTGGGCTTGGAGAGGAGTTGATGTTGTGGAAGTGGTAACATGCTTGTAGATTTTGGAATATGTTTTGGTTTTATCTGGAGTGAAAGTACCTTCGCTGTCGTAAATTGTTTCATTGGTTGATGCGCTTGAGGCAAAGGATTTATTTTCAATATCGGATGATTTTGTGTTTGAGGTGAAGTATTCATATTAGAGGTTAATGTTGTTTGTGTTTGAGGTAAAGTGTTCATATTAGAGGTTGATGCTGTTTGCGGTAAAAGATTCAATAGAGCTGTTAGTGTTTGCGGTAGAGTATTTACATTAGATATTGATGTTGTTTGTGGTAAAGTATTCATATTAGAGGTTAATGTTGTTTGTGTTTGTGGTAAAGTGTTCATATTAAAGGTTGATGTTGTTTGTGTTTTAGGTGAAATGTTCATATAAGAGGTGGAAGTTGTAGTTGTCGATGATTGCTGCTGAGATGGCACTGAATTAACAACTGCATTTGTAGTTGTTGTCGATGATTGTTGCTGAGATGGCACTGAATTGACGACTGTATTTGTTATTGTTGTCGGTGATTGCTGCTGATTTAGAACTAAATTTCCGACTGT